ATATGTGATTTAGGTGTGATGTTTTTAATTGTAATGTGTTGGTGCCAATTGTGTATTGTCATTGTGAATTTGTGTGAAGTGTAATGGTTTCAGTTGATTGTTTGTTTGTATTGTCAATAAGTCGTTTGTAAGGTGCCGGTAATTGCTGTGATCTGTTCGGGTGGGGGGTGGGGGTGGGGGTGGTTGTTCCAAGTTGGTATGGAAACACCACCCACTTTTCACTCGCTACTTGCTTATGTAGAAAAAGAAACGAAAAATCATCTTTAAAGCGGTCTTTTACTAACCTAAATTCATAAAATCTTCTGATATAGCATATAAAGTTTTGTCATGGCAGTTAACAATCGTAAGAATTAATCAAAATATGATGTCTTTATTGTACAAGGATTAAGAATTGACGTGCTAATTAGCTCATGTTAATTTCCAGAATTGCGTAAATTTTTTTAAATATTCTTAAACAAAACCCATGCCACTTACATGACTGGTGCTTAAAACCGGCCACGCTACCCGTATTACAGTAAGCAATAACTTGTAATAAAAAAACTAAGCATCTATGTGCATTTTAAAGACAATCAATCACTTACCAATGTTGTAAAATAGTCTTTTTTTACATGATAAACGTCTCTTCCGGCAAAAAGGCTAACTTTTTTGCATTAGAAGAATTTCTGCCTGTCCATTATTTTTTGTTTTAGATTACGGTTAAAAAAAGCATAAAATTATCTTGAAATGTAAACATACTTGTAAAGCAAACAACAAAATGAAAAAAAGCATTTATAAATATGAGTCGAAGGAAGTATAATAGAAAAATAGTTTTATATCAAGAGGATACAATTTAAAACATTGGTTTTTTAGCAACGAAAACCAGAAAAGAGATAGCCATCCCGTAAAAAACATGAAGGACAAGAAAGCAATAATCTTTGTTTCTCACCCTACGTGCTTGGTGCTTGAGCTAGTTATTTCCGTCCGACATTTCTCCGTTAAGATCTCGAGCGCTTATAATATATTCTAAAAAAGGGAAAAAATTAATAATTATTGTTAATTTAAATATGTTGCGTTTAAATAGATTTAATTGGAATTTTTAATTACTTTTAATTACAAAGCTTATCCTAAAATTGGAACATTAATTGTGAAATAAAGTTTGCTCCAGTTGAGTTTTCTTTGCTCATTGTTATGTTAATCAAGCTTATTTTTATTTTTAGAAAAGTCATTTTGGGATATTTTTTGGAAGCTATTTAAAAAACATGAAATCTAAAGTGGACGGTTGGCAGTGATGGGATTCGAACCCATGCCTTCACCATGACTAGTGCCTAAAATCAGTCCCTTAGACCACTCGGCCACACTACCTTACTGCCGACTGGTATTAATGTGTGAAAACAATTGCCTAATTATTTAATTTTAAGCTGGGGATGAAGAAAAATTATCAGTAATTCATTTTTTTGTGGCTAACGGCTGTGCATACGCGGTTAACAACTATGCTACACTAAAAAAGTGTCTGTCTGTCTGTCGGTCGTAATCATCGGTGATAGTTGGATATACTAACGAAAGTGAACAATACCTTTTATGTGTTTGCCGTTTGTCAGAAAAATATTGCAAGTTGTTTTGCTGACAAAATGTCATTTCATATATTTGAATAAATCGGAGTGAACTTTTGGTGAGAAAATCTAAATTTTGTTTGTTAAAGTTAATTAAAGTGAATATTATCATTAAGTAGTTTGTAGTTTAGTAGGTTGCTTACTTGTGCTTTATGATCAAAGGTTTCTACGTTAAAATTTTACTGTGCGTAAGGTCAATAACACAATGACATTTAAAATAGACGACAAATTTCTTTATAGCAAACATGTTTCGGTATACTTTATGTGAGCGGTGTCTACGATACAGAAACAACATTGTTTGTAATTGTTTTTGCAGTGTGGTGACAAGAGTAAGTGTCTGAATATGTGTGAGTTTTTGTCCGTTTGTCAAAGAAAAATCACAAACCACGTTGGATTTTAAAAGAGTGGGAATAGGAATAGAAGCTAAAGTGATTTTTGGTTTTGAAAGATGAAAAAACTAGTTTGAATACTAATTCTGTGCAGTAGCATTTTATTAAGTTGTGTAATTCATGTGCCGTGATTTGTGAAATGTAGCCAATGTAGGGTAGGTTGATAAAGTAAGTCAAAGGTACGTCTGAGAATATCTCGAGTATCTATAAGATATAAGTTCACTGCCTGATTGCTTAGTCTTATAGTTCTCTAATTACATAACTGTCATTTCCGCTTGTAAATATATAAATGTTTTGCAGCCTGCATTGTAAACTATAAGTCTGATGATGTCTTTGGAATAAAGACGAAATATTACACCATCTTTTGTTTCAAACTCTTGTAATATCTTGAATATCAAGAAAACGATATTTTTTATTTTGTATTATTTGAAATTGTCTGCTTGTCTTGGTTACTACCCATATTACAAACAACAATAACTTTTGAGAAAAACAAAACATCTAAATGCATTTTAAGACAGTCAATCACCTGCCAATGTTGTAAAATTATCTATTTTATCATATGGTAAACGTCACTTCCGCCAAAATAGCTGCTTTTTTGCCTTAGAAGCATTTCTGCCTGTTCATTATTTTTTAGTATGGACTAGGGTAAAAACGCGTAAAATTATCTTCAAATGTAAACATGCCTGTAAAGCAAACATCAAAACGTTTTAATGAAAAAAATGTATTCCAAAATTGGAATATTAATGGTGAAATTGACTATAGAAAATTAGACAAATTTTGTGTACATTACAAAACGAAAAAAAATTTAACAATTTTTGTTTCTCTTTGGCAAGTAAAAAATATTTACCTGTCATACATTCTTTGTAAAACAAAAAAATTCAATAGTACAGTTATCAAAATGACAATTTTAAAAAATATAATTTAAAAAATAAAATATTTTTTGAAAGAATTATATAAATACACAAAAAAAGCATTTCCCATTCCTGCAATCAATTTTTTTCGGACAAACTAGCTAGTTCTAAACGATGTAACTGACTATTGTGATAAATAAATTTATTTAACAAATTTTGAAAAAATTTACACAATTGTGGAAATTAAATTGAAATAATTAACATGTTTTTCTTAATTTTTGTATATTAAAGACATCATATTTTGATTATATGTTACGATTGTTAACTGCCATGACAAAAATGTATATCCTATATCAGAAGATTTTATAATCATATGGGTAGCGTGGCCGAGTTAAGGCGCTGGTTTAAGCACCAGTCATGCAAGTGGCATGGGTTCAAACCTCAACCAGCACGTCTTTGTTTTAGCAGTTTAAACATACTTTCAAAGCAAACATCAAATTAAAAAAAAACATTTTGAATATGAGTCGAAGGAAGTATAATAGGAAAATAGTTTAACATTCCAGGGGATACAATTTAAAACATTTGTTTTTTAGTAACGAAAACCAGAAAAGAGATGGCCATCCCGTAAAAAACATAAAGGACAAGAAAGCAATAATCTTTGTTTCTCACCCTACGTGGAAGACCTACGGTTTTCAGCCTCGTGTCGACTGTCTCATGTCACAAACTAGACGTGAAGAGATTGAGCGTCATAACGAGGAGGTAAGGCAAAACAAGGAAATGTTGAAAACCATAACAGAAGCTGTTTTATACTTGTCTAGGCAAGAGCTTGCATTTAGGGGGCATGATGAATCTAGTAGCAGCATGAATAAGGGAAATTATAGAGAGCTACTTGAAAGTTTTCCCAAGATGGATTCAGTTTTTGAAAGGTGATTACATGGCAGGCTTGCTGAAACCCACCTTGCTGGGGGAGGGCGGTTTACTGGAGTCTCTCCTGATATTCAGAATGATTTGATCGATTGTCTTGATAAGATAATACAGGATGAGATTTTAAAGGAAATAGATTGCTGCACTTTCTTAACTATACAGGTTGATGAGGCAACTGATGTTTCTACCAAAGAACAATTGAGTGTAATTGTTCGAATGGACAAAGGGGAAAGTGTCATTGAAAGACAGCTTGGGTTTGTTGATGTTACTTGTGATAGGACTGCAACTGCTATATAATCAGTAGTTAAGGGTAAGTTAAGTCAATACAATAATGTGAAAGAGAAATTTATTGGACAGACTTATGTTGGTGCATCTGTTATGCCTGGTCATCTCAATGGTGTTCAAGCTCAAGTTCAGCAGGATTATCCTTATGCTCAATTTGTTCACTGTGCTGCCCATAGACTAAATCTGGTATTATGTCATATATGAATATTCAGCCCCCATTAGCGTTCTAGTTTCTCCCCTGCATGTATGTTATCTACAGTCATCGTGACAAATCATGCAGGCGTTGTGGCCACAAACGAAGCATCTAAGTCTAGTATGCTCGTCAATATCTTATGCTTTAATCGACCCCATGACAAGGTTTCATTTTGGTACGTCTACTTTCTTTCTTCCCTAATTCCCTAAAGTTAACTTCATTCACTGAATATATAACTGTGAAAATAACTGTTCTGTTGCAAATGCGTTCTTAATTTTTTATAGCCTATATTGAAAACTTGATGACTCGTATTCAATTCAGCGCCCCCAAAATCAACAGCTAGGGGGGGGGCTAGCCCCCTGGCCCCCCTGCCACCACGCCACTGCCTTGATCCAAAGATTGGAATCAATTTTTATCTTATCTTTTGCAAATTTCTTGACAATGTTAGAAAGAGATTCTTCGGTAGTTAAACTAAAATAATTTGTATAGAATGTACTGTATATTGTTACATTTTTCTAATCACATCTGGAATCTTTTCCTACTACAAACAATATTTCGAAAATAAAACTTTGCGCATTGCAAATGATCGTAAGTATTTTTCATTTTCTGTTCATAGTTTGACAGGTATCACTTTTCTCATATTGTAAAACTATAACTCCACAGAAATAATATTTGCATTTGTAATATAGTTGAAAACAAAATAAGTTCATTTGCTCAAAAGTAAATAATTAGGCAATTGTTTTCACAAGTAAATTACAGTTGACAGTAAGGTAGTGTGGCCGAGTGGTCTAAGGCACTGGTTTTAGGCACCAGTCATGGAAATGGCATGGGTTCGAATCCCATCACTGACAATCCTCAATTTTATCTAATGCTTTTAATCAGCTTCCCAAATATGTCTTTTCTAAAAACGAGAAAAAAACTTGGTTGACATAACAACGATCAAAGAAAACTCAACTGGAGCAAACGTTTTAAACACTTGTATAGTTCAGAGGTACTTTGTCCAAAAAAATTTATAACAAAGAAAGTCAGGTACTTTCTAATGTATTAATATAAATCTTGGAAAAAGATCAGAATTTTATTTTAAAAAACTTATATTTTTTTAAAAAATTGGTTCTTGGAAAAACAGATTATTAATTTTTTTTCCTTCTACAAATTACATATGATCTGTACACTTTTTTAAATGTCCATCAAAAAAAAAGATTGTCAAATTTTTTATTGTTAATTTCACAATTAACGTTGTAATTTTTGTGTTACAGTTTTTTAATCAAAAGTTATTAAAGATTTAAATGAAACGTTTTTAACGCAAAATATTTAAATTACATGAATTATTCATTTTTTGCCCTTTTTAAAACATATTATATTTTGGAAGCGTGTATTGTATGTTTTGACGAACGATCAAAAATGTTAAGAGCCTTTACAAAAATAACTTAATCCGTTACTATACCCTTGATAACCGAGCTCGAGATCTTAACGAAGAAATATCAGAAGGAAATAAGTTGTGGAAGCACCAAGCACGTAGGGTGAGAAATAAAGGTTATTGCTTTCTTGTCCTTTATGTTTTTTACGGCATGGCTATCATTTTTCTGGTTTTTGTCACTTAAAAACAAATTGTTTCAAATTGTATCCTCAGGATATTAAACTATTTTCCTATTATACTTCCTTCGACTCATATTCATAAATGTTTTGTTTTTCATTTTGATGTTTGCTTTATAAGTATGTTTACATTTGAAAATAATTTTACGCGTTTTTTAACCGTAGTCCATTACAAGAAAAATGGACAGGCAGAAATGCTTCTAAGGCAAAAAATAGGCAGCCTAAGTGATTGATTGTCGTTAAAATGTATATAGATGGTTTTTTTTTCACAAGTTATTACTGTCTGTCATATGGGTAGCGTGGCCGTGTGGTCTAAGGCACTAGTTTGAAGCACCAGTCATGTAAGTGGCATTAGTTCGAATCCCATCGCTACCAGTACGTCTTAGTTTTAAGAATTTATTTAACAAATTTTAAAAAAATATAAGCAAATATTGAAATTAAATTGAAATAATTATCACGTTTTTCTTAATTTTTGTATGTTAAACACATTATATTTCGATTAATTTTTTGGATTGTTAACTGCCATGACAAAAATTTATATGCTATATCAGAAGATTTTATAAATTTAGGTTAGTAAAAGACCGTTTTAAAGATGACTTTTCTTTTTTTCTACACAAGCGAGTTGCGAGTGAAAAATTTGTGTTGTTCAGTGGCGTGCGGTGACCGAATTTAATAGGCAAGCGCTGGGAGTGAGGTTCGCGGCTTGACGCTAACCTATCTAGGGGCATGCTCCCCCAGAAAATTTTTGGATTTTAAGGCTACTGGAGCGCATTTCCCGCGATTTGTGTGAGTACTTTGTCGAAAAAATGTATCTGTCATGACTGAAAAAGTATTGAAAAAATCTAAAAAATTCAAAAACTTTTATAGAGTATATATCACAACTACGCTTTAAAAGTATTACATGTGGTATTGTGATATAAAGTCGTTTTAAGTAAATGACTACGCGTGCATTTCTCTTGTAGTGAAGAAGTAACAGAACGAAATAGTCCAAAATCCTACAACAGATTTACTTAAATGTAAATTCCATCCGTCTTTCCTTTGCGCAAAACTCCTTTATAACGTCTTCATAGAATCGTGGCTTCCCCTGCAAACTTACCAACATCTCCTTCTCGATTGAAATTGTAGCCAATGCAGAAATCGCTCTTGCCCTTGTGTACTGCGAAGATACGTTTTGATACGCTTGAGAGCCGAAAAATGATCTTTCTGCAGAGGAGGACGTACTTGGCATAGTAAGAATGAGCTGACACAATCGGTACACCTCTGGAAAACAGGCTTTTAAGTCAAGTTCGATTATTTTTGATATCATATCAAAAACAGGTTTCGATTTGAGCTCGACAGATGCGTATACAACGATTAGTTCACTTTTTAGTGCTTGAAGATTAAAGAATGTTCCATATGAATCTTGCAACGATTGCAGCTCTCGTTTGGGAAAATTCCGGCTGTACAATTCGTGCTTTGAATGATCCAACAAAGAAACGAATGCTCTGCTGTTAAGACTTTCGAATCTAGAGTCAATCTGCACGACAATGGTATCGTCTACACAGAAAAACATTTGACGGAAGGACGCCTTTACATACTTTTCACTTTGCCCGCGTTTCGGTGCTACTTTGACAATACTTGACGTAAATTTCCAATAATCTACGAATTTTGTTCGTTGTTCTTGAATCTTATCTTTCGTCTCGCGAACTTTCGTGACACAGAAGACAATATCGAGCTGCTTACTCTGAATGATATTATACAAAACATCCGTAAGACCAAATATTTCTGAAAATATTTTAAGGCAGAACACAAACTGGAAATCTGCAAGAACTTGTCGCTTCGTTTAACGTCGTACAGTCAAACTCGTCATCATTTTCGATGATGTATTCGAAAACTTCGAGCAGCTTTGCTCTTGTCTCCAGTACAGCATGGATTAACCTGCTCTGATCGTGCCATCGAACAGCTGTTCCAGTGGGAATGCGTCTGCCGACAACTGTGTCCAACAGGTATGTTCTCTTGGATGAGGCGTGAAAAAAGGATGAAAGACCAGTGACGGTTTTAAAAAATATACGACACTCTTTAGTTGACGAGACAGCTTGAACAAGGACCAAATTTAATGCGTGTCCGCAACAGTGGATAAAAAGAGCATGTGGATAGTCTTCTCTTACTCGTGTTTGCAAACCGGACAGTTCTCCTGACATCACACTCGCACCGTCATACGTTTGGGCAATCAGTTTTTCGCCGTATCCGTACTCGTTCAGGGTTTTACCGACTTCTTGTTTCAGTCTAGCCGCAGTTCTATCCTCACTTACATCGGTAAATCCAAGAAAGCACTCCACAGCTTTACCAACTGGGTTGACATAGCGAACTATAGTTGTTAGCTGCGATAAGGTCTTAACGTCGGAGGTTTCATCCAGGGAAATAGCGACAAATGGGCTCCTCATCACTTCATCATTTATTGCTTTCAACAAAACGTCCTTGACAGCAACAATCAAATCGTTCTGGATACGATTAGAAAGTCCAGAAAACACGGTTGCTGTATGAAGATGCTGTTCAAGCGTGGGGTCATATGCACTTAGCAGTTTAATCAATTCGACGTAATTGCCCCTGTTGGCAGACTCCTCCAGCTCCACCCGACCTCTGAAAGAAAGTTCCTGTTTGTCAAGAAAGCAAACAGCATCAATGAAACGGCGAAGTACTTCTCTATTCTCGTGCACCATCAAGTTATGAGCTGAGATGTGTTGACGGGCCTGTTCGTCTAGCTGCATGTCGATGCGTGTACGCCCAAAACTGGCATTCATTAGGCAACTGGACAAGTGTGTCTTCGTTTTCTCGTGTCTGTTGACGGCATTACACAGGTTGTCGAAATCATCGTATCCCTCCTTGCACCAAACTGTCTTGTCTGTTGAGTTGAACAAAAGACACGGCCAGCAAAATAACTTATTCAGTTTTGAGGAGCCAGCCAGCCATTTGAACTTGTCGTAATTTGACGTCTGAAAACTTCGAATAAAGACTTTACCACTTCGCTTGGATGTTGTATGTAGTCCTTGCAACTCAGGAGTGGGACGGCCACCTTCGAAGATCTCTCGTTTCTCGGAAAAAGGTCTCAATCCGAATGAGCGGGATAACAGTGATTCCACAATGCATTCAGTCATGCTGTACAGGTGTCGTGAAAATACCGAATGTAGAAGTAGAACATAAAAGGATGAAAATTCCTATGCTATATATTTTATAGGAACATCAATCTTATTTATACCTTACATCAGTTACATGATATCTACCTGATACAAATATCAAAACTACTACGAAAAAGGAAGCTCTTGTTAATATCATAATCTTGTATTACATGCTACAGATAATATCTTCTACATACATAAATTGCAAGACAAGAGGCGCGAAATGTATTGTAGCAGTCGTGATTATAACAATTAAGAACAGCCAGTTTCGCGCACAAAATTGGCACGGTGTGTTACAAACTGAGGCCATGGCGTTGTTTTATGTTTATATTTTGGTATAATGACGTCATGGCAACGTGTTCTCCCGTTCTTCAAAATGTGTCTGGCACTGACTCGTACGTTTCAGAATATTGGAGAGTCGTGTTTATTATTTAGTATCTTGTACCTTTTATTTTTATTCATTAATTTACGAATTCAACGACACAAGACTGACAAGAGCATAGTGTTTTGGTCATAATGCTAGTCATACTTTACCACAACACACGTTTGCGTACATTTCGATATATCTGCAGAATGCAGCCCCTGCTTGTTTACGCACATTGTGCGCAGAAAATAATAAAATAACCAGTATAGCACCTACTACTTTGAATTAGAAATCAGAACATTACCTTTCGCTCTCAGTCATCTTTTAATAAACGATAACATTAACGGCTGTCCAATGAATAATTCGGATGTCCAATGTGTTGAATATACGAATATTATTCGCGCGCTGATATGTGTTTAAAATTGCGAGCGTACAAGGCTGTTGACCAATCGCTATCAAGCGGCGCCCTTAGAAGCGCCGCTTGCCTTTTCTCGATATTACTCGAATAAGAAGCCTCCAAATCTAGATTAACGCATGCGCAAATGTTCAAATTGAGCTCCGAAGGCAAGCGCGCTTGCCTCGGTTAATAAATAAGAAATTTTTAAGGTGTATTTAATCCACTTGACTCATCTTATAAGTGTAGCAAAGTGAAACCGAAAACCACGACAGTAAATCGCGTATAAATAGCAAGCATTTCAACTGTAAAGACAATTTAGACAAAAGATTACATTGACATTGT